TCTCCTACTGCAAGCCGGGGCGCGGGCTGATCAAGGTGAACGGCGTCCCGATCGAGCTGATCAGGCCGGAGATGCTCCGCCTCAAGGCGTTCGAGCCCATCCTGCTCGCGGGGCGCTCGCGCTTCAAGGACATCGACATGAGGATCCGCGTCCGCGGCGGTGGGAAGACGTCGCAGATCTACGCGATCCGCCAGGCCATCGCCAAGGCCCTCGTCGCCTACTACCAGAAGTACGTCGACGAGGCGTCCAAGAAGGAGGTCAAGGACATCTTTGCCCGCTACGACCGCACCCTCCTCGTCGCCGACCCCAGGCGCTGCGAGCCCAAGAAGTTCGGTGGTCGCGGCGCCCGCGCAAGGTTCCAGAAGTCGTACCGCTGAGCGCTCGCCGGACCGATTCGGAGCGGTGTTCTCTTTTCCACCCTATCAATGGAGCTACTTGGCTTGTTCTACATCTATCTAGCTACTGCATTACTTTCAAGTTTAGTCTTTTAAAACTTAGCCCTGAACCTTGCCTTTTTGACATTGTGAAATGGATGTGATTGAAATGTTTAAGACTCTACTCTAGTCTCTGGAATATGGTTTTGCCTGTTACCTATGTTGAGTTATATTTATGTTGTTAAGATGATCCATACTGCAAGTGTTATGCTATGTTAAGATGATTCTGCGAGTAGTGTTGCTGTCTGCTTTGGTACCGCTACTGTTATGTTGTGATTGTGACATGCTCATTTCAGGTAGTTAGGGTTTTCAAATTTCAATTAATTCCCATGGAAATGCTTGTTCAGCTCCTTAGGGTTGCAAATTTCAAGTAATTCCAATGGAAATGCTCGTTTGCTGTATTGTTGCTTATTGTCAGTTTGAGTTTTAATACTATTGATACATGTATGTGTCTAGTGCATATGTTTTAAGTTAGCGGATGCAATTCATATATCGAGTAATAATTATGCGGAATATGTCATCAACACTTGCACATATGTGGTCTGTTGATCAACAGTTGCACTTCTATAAATTTAATTAGTCTTATCTAATAACAATCATGCAAGTTGCAATTCTATCTGGTATATGCGTATGAACACTTAATTCTGAATTCAGTGCCCATTCCTGAAGTTAATCTTTATGGTTTGCTTAGATTAGGAGCTTAGATTATGATGCTTAATTTGATTTAAACAAATGGCCTGCTACTTTTTGATATTTTTACTTATTTGGTCTGGTAGTTGTACACATATTGATGTGATAATCTTGTACAGATGATTTGCGAAGAGTTTGTGTGCTATTTTCATTGTAGCCTATGTCAGCTCTCTTTTAAAATGCTTTTTTCGATCACATTTACTGTTTGAGGTTTTCAACCATCCTTGTATACCTCCCCATAAAAGGAAGTACCAAAACTAACCTTATAGGTTGAAATAGAATTGGAAATTTTCATTATAAATTTCTGTGGCATTTATTGCATTCTTAGAGGTATGTATATTTGTCTCAATTAGAGGCATATACTTGCACCGTGGATAACTCTGGACTAACAATATACCTCGCAACTACCAGAATGGCCGTGCCATTCATAATCATAAACTTGTTTTGTAATAATAAACTTTTTTACCACTCAAGTAGTGGGAGTTGTGTGTCTCTTAAGGATTGGGAAAAAAAACCTCTGTTTAGGTAGGCTATAGGGCTATAGCCTACTGTAAGGTTTGTTCCGCTGGTTGTAGTTGTTTGCTAACTTGTCCTTGTTCTATGAAAATGCTAGTTGGTGTTCTATCATGGTAATATGGTATTGATGCAGAAATTTATATTGATATACATATGGCACAATTGTTAGGCTTGCATGGACTATTTTTTTCCTCCTGTGTTGCTTGATCTCATCTAGTAATGCCACCACAATTTTGTTCTGGCAAGTTTTTGAGCACTGCAGCAATTTTCATGGTGTTCAAATATTGTTCTTTTCTGTCATATATGACGTTTGTATATCTAATATGGTTTTGCAGCAGCTATTCATGGTCTCACTTCCTGTATATTGAGAAATCTATGGTCCATTGTTTGTCTTCATTCATTTAAGGGCCCCTTTGAATCGCAGGAATGGAAAAATAGAGGAATACGAAAAAACGCAGGATTCTGACAGGAATGTAAAACAGAGGATTGGAAAATACAAGAAAAACACAGGAATGACCGTTTGATTGGACCACAGGAATCGGATGAGAGAGATAGACTCAAAAAGAATTTTTCCAAGGACCTCTTGCTAACTTTCCTCCAAAATCTCTATAGGATTACCCATCTCATAGGAATTTTAAAGGATAGTATAGGATTCAATCCTTCGTTTTAAAGGGTTTCGTAGGAAATTTTTTCATAGGATTGAAATCCTTCAAATTTCCTACACTTATCCTACAAATCAAAGGGGGCCTTAGCATGAAAAGAAAAATCGTTGCTATTACTGTTAAGTCAGGAAAATCGTTGTGAAGTGCTAATAGTACTTCGAATTGAGGTTTGGTGGGTGTGTTGTGTTTGTCGTGCGGCTTCTAAGAAACGATTACGAGCGTAGTTTGGACGGCTAGCTTGCCTTTCCAGAAATACGAGCTGTTTACCAAAGAAACGGTTATGAGCACAAGCTAGTTTGGATATCAGTGATACGAGGCCACTAGCAAAACTATCCAATGGTCCATCGATGAGCAGCAATGATGCATTTCTGTCAGGCATGCTCTTCAGGCACCAACCTAACATGCTCTTGTACTCTAATTTGCACTGTTGTGTAGGTGCAAGCCTCATCTAGAGCAAAAGAAAGCTAAGCTATTCTAGCCAGTATTAATGTAATCCTAACGCATATTCATTTTGTTTCTTGCACTTGCTATATGCTTTTTTGTTTTCATGTGTCATCTGATTTCCATTCTAATCATTTTTGAAAATAGGTTTTTCTTGTGTCATCTAGATTTCCGTTCTATAACCATTTCTGAAAATAGTGGGAGCCGGCGACCTACCACTCTATACCGAGGCCTTGAGGCCCCACATGACATAGAACCTAAGGTATGACTAAAGAGAAAAATTGATGAGGGCAAATGCCACTGCTCTATACATTAGATTAGTTCTTGTCTGCTTACAACTCTTTCTAAGAAGGGCTAATAATAATTTTCTACCAACACTCAGCACAAGTTTTTTCTATTATTTCATTTGAGAGGCTAGTGTGCTTATCTTTTGTTTCAAAAAAAAACAAGTTGCTAATTATAGTTCATGACCATAAAAAACACGATCGATTTCATGCGTTAGAAATTGTTAGTTATTGAGGTTCGTACCCATCACGTTGATCGATTTCATGTGTTAGAAATTGTTAGTTATGGAGGTTCCTGCCCATCACGTGGATGATGAGACAAAGGAGTGGCACGTTGGATGACGGTACATCTCCATTTCCTAACCTAGTTGAATTGCATATGAGGAATCTACCGAAAGTATGTGGAGTGGCACGTGAGATGACGGTACATCTCCATTTCCTGGTTAAATTGTGCATTTCTCGTTGTAGTAATATGAGGGAGGGAGTTGAAGGCATTGAACACCTCACCTCCCTCCAAAGGGAAATTTAACTATTTGTCACTCTTGTGACATGGCAATTAACGATTTGCCACACCATGTCTATAACATGTGGGCCCTCATGTGTCTATGACATGTGAACCTAGTGGCAAATCGTTAAGCACCACTCATAAGAGTGGCAAATAGTTAAAAGCCCCCCCTCCAAAACCCGTGGATACAAGAAAGCCGTGCCCTCGAGATGCTCTCTAAAATACATCGTGCTCCATCATGGGCTCACCTCGCTCCAACACCTCCAACTTTTGTTTCCTACCCGTGTGCTCATCATGCTACTAGAATCACTTGGGCAAACTCTCTACACAACCGCTTTCTAGCCAAAGATACCTTGGCCTTTAGTCCTTGACTCCTCTCCCAACTCCATACAATGCCTTACTTCTTTATATGATTTGCTGATTAGTTACATCCTTGCTTTGAGTAGGTGTTACAAGGTCAGGGGAAGGACTAGCACATCCTCTCCCACATTTGTCAGATGTAGATATTAGGTAATTGGAAATTAGGATATATATTAGAGATAAGACAATGAGGTCACAACATTCCGCTGATCGTGGTCGTATTAAGGTGTCCATACATGTATGTTATTTTATTACATTGTTATCACTAATGTCATCTTTCATTGCATGTATGTCAGGCCCAAACTTCATCTCATTTTCCACCCTCCTGGTGGAACAGAGCACACATGCATATGGTGACCGGTGAAATCAATGAAGCAGCTAATTTGCTGCTACTCATTATTTTGACCGCTGATACATGATAAGTGGACGAGATTGTCACTCACCTGATTTTGAAGTTAGTTACTTCCTCTGTTAAAAAAATATAAGCGCATATGTGACTTAAAATTTGTACTACAATAAAAACACTTAATTGTATACCAATTGAGATTTCCCGCAGTACCACTCATTGACATATGGGCTTGAGGGTCTGTAAGGCCCACATGTCAGTGTGTAATACTATACTGCAGATGATCTGTATCCATTGTATACAAGTTGCGTCATTTTGGGCCTTGCATGAGTTTGATTGACCCTATGGTCTGCGCATGAAGGCTGCACTATAGCAATAAAAAGAGGTCAGGAAAGTTGCACTACAATCACCAAACATGGCAAGCCCGCTCCATTGATAAATAGTCTATTGGTGCAAGCCTATTTATGTTAAAAACCGATTTGAAGAAAGAATATTTACATTTTAACCTCTTTTAAAAAATTTATTTTATAAATAGGTCCTCGATGATAATCTCTTTAGTGGCACTGATCCTCTACATCTTGACTGTTGGGGGGTGGGGGGGATAAGGGTGTCAATACTAATATCGTTGGTGTTGAGACATTGTACGTTGGCGAGGGTCACTAACATCGAGATAATGGTCTAATTCTGAAATAATTTTATATAGGGTTAATTTACAAAGTAAGTTCTCTAAAACTATGCTAGTAGAATGTAAAATAACCCAGATTCCAATGTTAATCGTTCGGCCACCGCTTGCGCGACCGTTGCTGCCGGTTGCCGCCGCCAGGACTCACGGCTTGCTCCCCTCCCTTCGCCTCCGGCTCCTATCCCATCCGCATACTGCCGCGGACGCATGGCCCAACGATGCAGCCGCGCGGTCGTCGTCTTCCATCTCCACGACGAGGTTAGGTATCGCATCCCTGATCCCCCACGCCTACCTTTCTCTCTCTCTCTCCCTGGCCCGCCCAGACTAGATCTATTAGGGGGGAGCTCAACTTGTTCGATACTTCGATCTGCAACTTGCAACTACAGCCCCAAACTAGAAATCGCTGTCCTCATACAGCCCCCATCTGACTACCAACAGCTAAGCAAAACTAGATTATTACTATGATTTTTGTGAGGATCGTCCTTCTTTGACTGGCTTGCCATAGAGTGGTTTCGAAAGTGACATTTCCACACCAGCTTTCTGTATTTAAACTGCAATTGGTGGATATTCGATTTATATTATATGTTGTGGGCATGTGTTTCCAACTCACCCAGCACTACACCAACCCAAATTGGTGGATACTAATCACATTTTAAGGTGACAAGGGAGCTCTAATGAATGGAGCTGCCAGAACCACCACCACTCTGCAACTAAATCCCAAGAAACAGGTGTTATTTGTGTTGCTTGGGACAGTGAGGGGATACTGCAGGATCAAGTCAGACGACCTGAGATCAGGTGTTTAATTACCTCAGCTTTTGTATCCTTCAAAACTAAATTTCTCGCGTTTTTATGTTAAGATAATGTGTTCTCCAAAATCTACTCCACCACTAATCTCTTTTGCAAATGGTTTGTCTTTTGTTCAGCTTTTCTCAGGGGATTGTTCTGCCTCTTCTCAGGGAGCTAGTACTCTACTACAGTACTACTAAGTACGGATATTTACAATTCAATAGAAACACAACTTACTGATGGTTCTTGTGTGCTAGAAGCTTTCATGGGCATCTATCTTCCGTTATTTACTAGTTTGCTTTCTTGTATATACATCAGAACCTGTCCTCAATATATCACATACATGTACCTCTTGGTTCATCATGATGTTATGAACAATTGAACAAAACAAGTGCATCTTCAAAGAGATCGAAGAAGCACAACTTCAACGAAGAGAAGGCAAAGGCTTAACACCTATTTTTCCATATCAGGTACCATTAACCGGGCGTCATCTGTTACGCTTTTATATGTCTATCTTGCTCTGCACGTGTAAAACATGGTTGAACTTAGAAAGAAAATAACAATCAGGCATACAAACATATACTAGCGTTAGTTTTCATTGCATAAAAAATAATTACGAATATTGCACCTGAATCATTTGAAATTCAGTATGTAGCATCTCATTCTGAAATTTAATATGTAGGATTTGGGCCAAAGAGAAGCTTCCAAGTTTCAAACATATGGGCATGGAAGCTGCTGTATGGATTATTTAAGATTGTGGGAGACAAGTTAGCACCACTTGTAATAAGAGAGTATAGTTCTCTTATGGGTGTTACGAAAGATCTCCAGGAGCTTCAAGATTTAGTTGAGGAGATCAAAAGCGGGCTACAGGTAGCAGGTGATAATGCAATTGGTAATAAACCACCATCTAATTGGCTAAAAAAATTGAAAGATTTTGCTTACGATCTTGAAGATTTGGTACATGAATTTCATCTTCAGTCTGAGAAACATGACACAGATAATGATCGTGACAAGTATGCTGTGCTCAAATACATGCGCACAAAACCAAAACTAGCCATGTTTCAACTCAAAATGGCCAACAAGATAAAGACAATCAAAAACAGATTTGCTGCAATTGTCGAGCAAAGAGGCGATGTCAATACTATATTGAATGCTATACCAATCGATCATAATGTTCATAAAAACAAGATTATCAGTGAGCCATCCTTATTGGGCAATGTTGATGACTCAAAAATACATGTGAGATGAGGAGAAGCACAAGATCATATGTAAGTTAATAGATGACCAACAGAAAATCTCAATAGTTTCAATTGTTGGACTTGGTGGAACCGGTAAAACTACTATGGCCACACACATCTGTCATGACAACAAAATAAAAGAGCATTTTGAAGGCTCAATATTTTGGGTTCACGTGTCACAAGAATTTGATAATAACAAACTCGTCGGCAAGCTGTATGAAGCCATTTTAAAGAAAACATCATATCTTCGTACCGACCAACAGATGGTTGAAGCAATTTCAAACGAGTTGAATGGGAATAAGTTTCTACTTGTCTTGGATGATGCTTGGCACAAGAATCAATATGACTGGGAACGATTCATGCTATATCTTAAGAGTGGATCACCTGGAAGCCGGATTTTGCTCACAACTCGTGATCAGGGAGTTGCGGAGGCAGTGGAATCTACATGTACATATAAGTTGGCTTTCTTGTCAGATGAGGACAGCTGGAATTTATTTCAACAAAGTTTAAGGTTAGCTGCAAAAGGTCTGCCCTCTGAATTTGTAGAAATTGGAAGAGAGATTATTAAAAAATGTGGTGGGGTGCCACTGGCAATTAAAATTCTTGCAGGTGTCCTCCGTAACAAGAAAACAGTAGATGCATGGTGTGCCTTACGTGATAGTAACATGTGGAATGTTGATGATATAGAAGATAGAGTGTTTGCGTCATTAAGGCTGAGCTATTTTCATCTGCCTGATCATCTGAAGCAATGTTTTGTATATTGCTCTATATTTCCTAAAGGCTACAAGATCTACAAACACCAGTTGATCGGAGAGTGGATAGCAAATGGCTTCATCAATCCAATGAATGAGATTGAACAAGTAGAGGATGTTGCAAATGACTGCTTTGATTCTCTTCTGAAAGTGCACTTTCTCCAAGATCTAGAGGTAGATGAGTATGATGAAATGGAAATATGCAAGATGCATGACCTGGTTCTTGACCTTACTCGGCAAATTTTACAGGGTGAAATGGTGTCTCATTCTCAGAATGCAACTATTGGTAATTCCCAAAAATGCAGATATTTATCTTTGGCTTCGTGCAATGAGAATATTGAAGTGAAGTTATTTAGCAAGGTCCATGCTATCTATATTTCTGGTGACAACTTCGCACTCAACAAGCCAATCAAGAAAAGGTGCCATGTTCGTTCTATTATTTTGGAGAGTATGGGCGCTACTAATTTGTTGCTTCCATTGATACCAAAGTTCGAATATCTTAGCTATTTTCGTATCTCACACGCTAGCTGTCGAGCCTTTCCAGAAGAAATCTCACATTGCTGGAACTTGCAGGCCCTTCATGTTACATATTGCAGGGCACTTACCACATTACCTGAGTCTATTGGTAAGCTTAAGAAGCTGAGAACCCTAGAGTTGTCATGTCTTTTGGATCTTGAAAGTTTGCCTCAGTCCATTGGTGACTGTCATAATCTTCAAAGCTTTCTCCTGCGTGGCAGTGGTATCAGGGAGATACCAAACTCCATATGTAAAATTAAAAAACTAAGAGTGCTTAACATTATGCATTGTCGCTCTTTGAGGCAACAATGGTCAGAATTCTTTGGGACGCTTTGCAACTTACAGTCCATCAACTTAGCACAGATTGAGGGTATCCACAACTTGTTCAGTTCATTTGCTTGTCATAAACTACGCACTTTGACACTTAGTGGAACCGAAATTACCAGACTACCGCAATGCCTCACATTGGTGAGCACCCTGGAATACATAGACCTTCAAAACTGCTGGGGGCTGCTAGAGTTATCGGAGGGCATAGGGAACCTAGAGAGGCTTGAAGTTTTGAACCTAAAAGGATGCTCGAATTTGGGTGGCCTGCCAGTAGGGATTGGACAGCTAACTCATCTTCAAAGGCTGCATTTGTTTGTTATAGGTGGCAGTAGCGAGCATGCAAGAATATCAGGGCTTCGAAACCTCAACTTGTTAACCGACAATGATCTGGAAATAAAAATTATTAAATATGTAGAGGATCCAGATGATGCAGAAAAGGCCTCCCTGAAGGAAAAGAGTGGTATACTCAATTTGACATTGGATTGGTCTTCAAATGGTGCAGAAGGGTGCTCGGATAGTCTGGAAGAAGAGCCATTATTAGATATGGAAAAGGAGCTGCGTGTGCTCAATGGTCTTGAACCACCATCACAAATTAAGAAGCTGAATATCTATAATTACAAAGGTAAGCATTTCTCACGTTGGATGATGAAGCAAAGAGAATCCTCTTGTTCAGATAGCTTGTTAGAGCAAATTGATCCACCTCATTTCACTCAACTGACTAAACTTGTATTGGAACAATTTCCAAACTTGGAGAATCTGCAAGGACTTGCACGGTTGCCTTCATTGAATACTTTTGTATTGAAAGGAATGCCTAATTTGGTGGAGTTGTGGACAAGCTCACCTGCATTAGTAAGTGGGGAGGAAGGAAAGCCCTGTTGTATTGATCACGAACAAGTTGAGCACTGCTTCCCTTTCCTATCCACTCTAGTCATGAGTGATTGTCCTAAGCTGAAGTAATGCCCATGTTTCCCACCATATTTGGATAGCTTGACACTGGAACGAAGCAACGAGCAGCTGCTGTCTCAAGTTAGCTTCTCTCATCCGCTCCATCCTCTTGACAAGGAATCCTCATCCATCTGCTTTAGTGTGGATTCCCCTCACCTCAAGAAATTAGAACTAGGAGGAATGGCTGGATCATCGTCAGGTTGGGAAGTGCTGCAGAACCTCACCGGGCTCGAATCCTTGTCAATTTATTCCAGTGACCTAAGGCAATTAGGGGAGATCATCCGGAGCCTCACCTCCCTCCAGTATCTTTGTATCTCGGGTTGCCCAGTTCTTGCCATGCTGCCAGAGTGGCTGGGGGGATTCCGCTCTCTGCAAACTCTAGTTCTGAAAGAAATCCCACTATTGGCTAGCCTCCCCAAGTCGATCATGCTCCTTACATCCCTGGAGAAGTTGGCTATTGTTGAATGCGACAATCTAAAGGAGTTGCCTGAGGTGGTAAATCATCTCACCTCCCTCAAGGAATTGGATATTTCTAGTTGCAGAAATCTGAGCCAGTTGCCTGAGGGAATTCAGCATCTTACCAACCTTGAAGACCTAAGTATACAGGACTGTCTTGCCCTCCACAAGCTGCCAGAAGGACTGGGGATGTTAGGTTCTCTAGAGGACCTTATGATCAATATCTTGCCTGTCCTTACGACCCTTCTGGAGTCCATGCAGGGGCTCACCTCACTCCGGCACATCAACTTGATGAGCTGCCCTATGCTCACCGTGCTGCCAGAGTCACTCAGACAACTCTCCGCGCTCCGATCGCTTTATATGCAAAGCTGCACTGGCCTTCGATCCTTGCCCAGCTCCATACAACACCTTACTTCTCTTCAGCATTTGGTGATTAGTTACAACCCTACCTTGAGTAGGCATTACAAAAATAGGGTCGGGAAGGACTGGCACATCATCTCCCATATTCCTGTTGTGGAGATACGAGATTAGGGAGCATGCTGGGCACTAACAACAAATAAACGAGCATGGCAAGGTGGTGACATACTACTTCTGTGGCTCTGTGCGACTATGCCTTATTATTGCACGTCTCTTTTGTATCCTCAATACTTGTTACTAATTTCCCAACCCATCTTTTTTCTATAATTGTTCCAGAACCCCCTGCTGGTGGAGTCGTGGAGCAGAGCATATGTGTTCATGAACCAGCTTTGGAGATGATCACTCTCAAGTTTTGAATCTTGACATGCAAGGAAAGATGGATAAGGTACACACTCTTTTGTTTTAGTTATCTTACAAGTGAGAATCTCAGGGCACAAATTTGCTGTTTGAGAAAAATGCTCATTTGGTACTTCCACTATCTTTTCCAGGACTGCAATCTTTTTTTCTTGCCATTCGAATTTACTGAACAAATTAATTAAGCATGCTTGCGCAAGCAAACACCATTCTATTTTATTCTCATGGATTTCCTTGGGAATATTCCATTGAAAAAAAAACTCTTTTCCTTGGTCCACAAAAAAAAACACACACTGTTTTATAGGTTTCCTTTTCAGACATGTTCATTGTGTTCACAGTTTCACACCATTTTTTTTTGTGAGACGGTACAAAATGCAAATTTTCAGGAAGATGCCTGCAGGCTGGTCAGGTTACAATGTGGCATTGCTGCTTTACGGTCAGCAGGCTAGCATGTTTCCTGTATTGTGTAAGGAGTATTCTGAAAGATGTTCCTGAGACTATGGTGGCTGTAAAATACTGAGAGTGTTCCATCATACTCCCTATATACCAAAAAGAATCCAACCCTAGAGATAAATCTGGACATACACTATATACAGATTTAACCTCAGGATTAGGTTTTTTATGGGACAAAGGAAGTAACTTTAAGTAGTGAAAAAGTTTGGCAATCATTCTTGGTTTGATAAGAATCTTAAGCACATCAGATTTTGCATTTGGGATGCAAAATAATAGATGAGGACTTACTCTAGACATTAATCATTTTCAGGGTCAGGGCATTTGAATTAGCCTGATGATCAACATAAGAAAATCTGCATGAGATGAACAGAATGTACTCGACAAAGAACTGGGCTCTTCCTGGGAATACATCTGTTTTGTTATTTTGATATTAACACTAGCCTGGAGTTTGTACTTGTGAAGAGAAGCCAGGGAGTTGATATACGAACTTATCATTTAAAGATGCACTGTTCATTTGGTCCTTGTTTACCGAACATTCTGCAGTAAGCTTCTTTTACCAGGGACTTGATTGATTTGCTCGAGAAAATCAACCAAGAATTGCTATGCTTATAAGACCATGAATTTGATCGTTCGACAAACTCAAGTGTTTTACGAGTGCCAGGCACATCTTTTGGTCGAAGAATACAACTCGGAAAATTGATTTGCAGTCGGCATATCGTTCAATTCAACATGCAGTCTCGCAGTTGGCATGCTACACTTTTGTACTTGTAATATTGGCATCTTTGGTACTTGATAAATGCATTTTAAGTTGATCACGGGGCTACCATTATGTGCGCTCCCTCTATTAATTAATATCCAGAGTTGTTGCTCTGTGACATTCCTATCACACAACATATGTATGCGCTTATTTGCAAGGGAGACTGTCGATCGTAACATATGCACTTCATGTCGGCCTTTGGGAGCACTGATAAGCTAGTTCTTCTTGAGCTGTCTTGATGCATCAAGCAGCACATGGAGGTCGCTAATTAATTGGTCTGTTGGGCTGCAGCTGATACTTGAGCCGTCTCAGCTGCTTCCTGCTCAGCTCCACTGGCGTCACTGGGCACATCCACGACCATCTTGGAAACACGGAACATGGCCAGGTGGATGTCGCCTGCAATAAAATGCAAAAGAGGAACAAGCACAGACTGATCACAACGAAGAAGAGCAGGCAAGAGATGCTGCGAGTTGTATGCAGTCTGAAGAGAGTGAGGTGAGCTAATTTGTAGCAGTAATAACTAATAAGTAGTAGTACCAAAAATGAGGAGGCTACCGGGGTCGATGGGAGTGGGGAAACCCGGGCTGAGGCGCCTCTCGTTGATGTAGGTGCCATTCGTGCTCTCCAGGTCTGTTACCAACAGGCTCCCCTCTTTCTTCTCCAGCCGTGCGTGCGTCCCAGAAACTGCTTTTTTTCATGCCATTCCATTCCATTTCATTTCATTTGCAGCAACTTAGTAAGCTACATATGTCTGATGGATTATGGAGAGAGCAATGCAAGTGAATGAATGTGCTGCATATATATATGCTACTACCTGTTGCGACAGACAGGACGATGTCAGCCTGTTCAGGAACACGACCCACCGTCACCGCCGCCTCCTGCACACACAAGACAACACATTCATTCATCCAAGAGAACACCCGGCTGCAGCTGAGCTAGCACGGTTACAGCATGGATATCCAGAGAATTTCTGGGAAGGTAGAAACAAAGAGAGACATACGGATGCTATCTGGAAGCCGCCGGGTCGTGCGACGCGGTACCCGATATGACGCCAATCGCCGTCTCCTGCAATTCAACAACAGCAGGTTCTGTTTGTTCAGGTGGACAGCAATAAACTCACGAATATTGCTGCTGTGTTCTGTTTTGCAATTTTTTCTTCAGACCAGCTAGTTAAAGTTGGTAAGATGACGATACTATGATTAAGCCGGTAGGCAGGCACAAGCATGAGCCAGTTCACAAGGGATATCGACATTGCATTACAAGTATCATTTTCACAAGTATTGAAAGCAGACTAACCTGCAGGCTCAAGAACCCATCTTTCTGAAGTGGCGGAAGAAGACGCGCTGTCAGTGCCACTGGAAGAGCACCTCAGCGACAAAATGGAAATGCTTCTTCTGCCACTCCCGTTGCTGTTTCTGCTGGTTAGCTGACTGACGAACTGCAGCCGCGGCTGCTGCAGCTTCGCCCCATTGGAGGCGTAGCTGCTGCTGCAAGGAGGCGGCAGTGACAAGCAGGAGGAAGGCCTCCTGGGTGTTGGGCTAGAGAAGAGCAAGGAAGGAGTAGCCACTGCTGCTTCCATTTGTGTCTGTGATTTGTGCTCACTGCTCAGCAGTGGCAGGGAAATGCAGTGCCTTGCTTTTTTTGTTCGCTTCTTGATTTCTTTGTGGATCAGTGGAGATAGAATTGAGGTTGTTTGTCCTGTGTTCAATGCTATCTCTGGACTCATGGCCAATCAGTTGCTCTTCACCTTCATCTGTTGGTGGTCGAGGTTCACTGCTTGGTCATTGTCGGATTCTCCCGTTGCCCTACGGTCCCACTCTGCTTGTCTGCTTCTGCTGTACTGTACACAAATAAATTTTTTTTCTCAAACACATTTTTAAGAGTAATTTTAGATGAAACAATAACACTCCTCCAAATTTCACAGAAAAAAAAAAGAGTACTCCAGGATTAACATTGCAGTAATCTTTTAGCAGTGCATAAATAGGAAAAATGCATAATGAATAATTTAGCTTGTTTGAGTCTCAAGAGAAGAAAAAAAAAACACACGATGAATATTGTATCTGGTTGAGTCTCTAGAGAAATTTAGCTCCCTTAGTTATTCTCCGAAGAGGGTTTGTTTGGATGACTCACCTGCATAGAGAAAAACTTGAGAATAAAGGTTAGTTAATCAGTGAGAGAAAGCGAAGGTGTATTCGAACTCTTCAAGCAAAATTTACACCCATTGGCTTTGGTGTGATGTAATGTAAGCTTCATCCATAGTATCAGTATATTCTTTTAGCGGTTTTACACATTTTTCTTACAATATTTGTTTGTTTCTCTAGACGTGCAATGCAACACAGTATACAACATAGAAGCGTTAGTATATTTCCATATTATTACTCCAGCAGGAAAATATTCAATACAAGCGACATCTGATTAAGCAGTTCAGCAACCTACAAATTTCAAAAACAAAATTAAACATCCTCGATTCTTTCAATAAATAAATAAATTTCAAAAAGAAAAATTAAACACCCTACATCAGGCCAGGTCAGCTAAAAGCCCAACACGCTTGGGGCCTAATGCTGTCTGTGCTTGGGCCGGCCCACTCAGGTCCACTTCCGGACCCACACGCCAGACTCTCTCGAGGAAAAAAAAAAAGAAGTAATCGTGGTTAGCAACCTGCCCCTTGTTCCACAACGACGAACAACATCTCGCCACGAGGAGGAGGGCGAGAGCTTACACGAGTCCGAAATCCCCAATCCGGGATCCCCTGCTTCTCTTCGCGCCAAGGTAAGATCTCTCACGGATCTCTGTGCTTGGCAGCGCGGATCGAATTTTTGTCATTACTTGTCCTAATTTTTGTTCCGGGGTGTCTAATTTGGGTCCGATCCGATCAGATGGCGGCTGCCTGGGCGGCGGCGGTGGCCGTGATGCTCCTCCTTGCGCAGGTGTCAGCGGCGGCTCCGGTGATGGGGCCTGCCTTCCTCTGGGCGCCCAATAACTACGGGTAACTTGTTGCCACAGCGTTTCTCTTTTTCATCGTTTCAAGCCTGAGATCCCTTTTGCTAGATATGTATGAATGTATTAATAATGTTAACGATTTTTAGTGAACTCTGCTGCTTCACTTAGAAAAGGTTGCAATTTGGTATAGCGAGTATTGACATAACACATAACTCTTCATGAGGTGCATGCGATTTACTGCTCTTCTTTTCTTGAACGAATAGTGCATATGCAGTTCGTTCCTCATGAAACAGGAGGCTTCATGATCGGATAATTAGTTTCCTTTGTATCTAAGGCCACACCCTTGACTCTAGCCCTGTGTGCCATAGATGATAGAATCTTCTTGGGCATTCCCAGGAGTGATCCTCGCGTTGTCTCATGGGGTCCAGATCAACCACATTCCTTTGAAACTGCATCCTCAAGAAACGCCCAGGGGTCTTCCAGCTAGCTCCACAAGGTGGTGGGCTAGATGACCTGGGTTCGAAGCCTCACCCCTTCTAATTATTTGATATTAGGTCCTTCCCTAATATTCGCGTCTTTTTTTTTCGAAACTGCATCCTCATCCATCATTCAGTACAGACAATCAATATGGAGGTTTTAAATCTAGAACAACCATAGATTCCATAGTTGGAGGATTTCGGAGTTCTCAACTTATACTGATCAAGCAGTTACCTTGCACAGTTGCCCATTTCCTGCTACTACTTCACATCAGCGCTCCATTTTGCTGCGGAGAGTAAATGTATAATTTCTTTCGTCAAATTCCAATTTATATGGTGGAGGGTGGAGTAGGGTGGTTGAGAGAAATCTCAGTTGGAAGTGGGATACTGGAAGGTTGATGAGAGGAAAGGATGAAACCCATACCCATTTAGCACCCTTTCATTTTTGGTCATATGATCTGGTATATACATATCAAAACCTTCTAGTTAGAACGAAGAACAGAGATTGTCTTGCTGCTTAGGTTTTGTGTTACAGATTTGTTCAGCTTTTCTAACATGCTCACTCCTATTTGTGTTGATATTAGGAAAGTAAAGTAGGGTATCAGTTAAGACAGGCCTCCATTTTGTATTTGATTTTGCACAGTGCACACTGGAATATCATGGCTTGCTTCAAAAAACATTACCTTCTTAGATTTTTTTAGCTCAGCTAGGGAGCATTTTTATGTTTTTTTTTCCATGGGGTTTGTAGTAATGCTGCACACTTATGTCTTAAGCATGCTTTCCTTAGTAGACAGGTGCATCCGTGCATGTGGCCGTTAGATATGCTGTCTTTCTTGCATGGAAACTTGCAATCCAATTGAAATCCTGCTAAAAATTAGTAATAGAGCTCCATGGGGCTGGCTCTAAAAAAATGATTTTGTGTTTGCTTCAGCTCTTATTTTATATGGACAATCTTTGGCCTCTAATTGAAAAAGATCTTGAAACTATGAGTTCCATTAAATAGGCTATGGCGAGTTCCTGAGCAATATGTTATCCTTATCTGAGATAATAAGAACATTAAAGCAATGGAGTAATGCAACTTCATCACTGATTCTTGCCTAGAGCATATGTTGCACCTGGTCTGTACTGTAGATGGCAATGTCATGCATATGAGGGTCACCCATTTTTGTTGGTGCCTCACATTTTCAGTTACTTGCTGGCTAGATTGAAATTACCAGTTCATATAGAAAATATTTGCTGACCTTCTTGTGGTTATTTTAATCAAAGTTTAGTTGTATAAATTACATTTTATTTACCTTGCTCGCCAGATTCTCTTCTGATGAGACTAAAGAAATGGTCTACTATCAGACAGTATCCCCAAAGAGCTTAGTGAAATCTGTTCTTGAGGAAGGTGGTTGGTCAAACTTGGTGGTGAGTTGAGTTCCCCCCACGTCAATTCACAAACAACTGACCAATTTCAATTGCAGTATCTGCTCTTATTGTGCACAAACTCAAACAATTCATAACATTGTGATTTTATTTTAGTGTTCAAGGGAGGATCATGCAAAGAGTGTTGATGTTGCAGTTCTTTTTCTTGGCTCGAAGGTACTTATTGACTCCCATTCATTTGGTACTGTGAACTAGTGTTTAGGTCTTCACTGGTTGCAATGTTTACATAATTATTGATTCAGTCCACATTGATCAAAAAATTGGAATACATTTTCTTCATAGTGTTTCTGATAGACGATAATAATCAATACTAAGAGGCCATAACATTTCCAAATTCTCTTGTTTGAATCTGTATGTCAAAATTATTGCTAGATCAAGTAATTTATATTATGATGCTGTTTCAATTTTTCAATGCTTCAGTTGAAACTGACTGATAACTTATTGTTCCTGTAGCTACAATCATCAGACATTTCTAAAGAAAAGCAAGCTGATTCAACTTTAGTAGACATGCTGAAGGTATTCATAATCACTCTTCTTTTGTCCATCCCCCTTATTTGTATTTCCCCTAGTTGTTATATAACTGAAAAATTAAAGATTTTTAAATGCTTATAATATCTATGCTCTTTACTAGAACTCCTTTGCAAGCTCCGAGTTTTCCATGGCATTCCCCTATGTTGCCATGTCAGATGATGACAAATTGGAGAAGTCATTGCTATCTGGATTTGCTGAGAATTGCAACAATGGTCTTGGAAATAATCATATCACCTACACAGACACCTGTTCTGTAAGTGAAGATCTGAAGAAACATCACGACATGGATTCCATTCATGTAAGTTTTTATAGTTCTTTTGGTACTTCTTGCAATTTCTCTTTTCCATTTATTGACCACATGTACATTCCAGGGATTGGTGGCATCACAAACTAAAAAGAACCCAAGTGGACAGACTGATCTGGTTGTCTTCTGTGATGGTGGTTTCAAGGATAACACAAAATCAGAAGGTTAGGTCAAAGATGCTAGGTTGGTCCTTTCACCTCAAATATACAACTGTACCTTAATGTTATGCTAATTTTTTCTGTAGGGGAGTTACTTTCTGAGCTGGTTACTCTGCTGAAGAAGTCTGGAGCTAAATATACAATTCTTTATGCTTCTCAGCCCTATGGTTTGCTAGAGAGCCCTTCAAACCTGCCGTTAGGCAGGTACCTCGCAGAGAAGACTAATACTACTAAACCCGGCCGTGGAAAATGTGATGGGGAGTGCTTAGTAAAATCAACTCTGCTAGAAGGAAGCTTTGTTGTAAGTTGTCCCATGGACTGTTTTTTTTATTGGTTACTTTCATTCTGTCATGTAGACTTAAGCCTATAATGTTTTCCAACAAAAACAGTATAATTTTAGAGGTAGTTGACTTCTCTTATTGACTTTACTGCAAAATTTTATTTCTATATCACTATTTGTTATCCTAGAATTATTTTCTCACAATAGTTCGTTTATGATATGCAGGGAATAGTGCTGCTAATCATCTTGATATCAGGACTCAAATGTATGATGGGAATTGATACCCCATCAAAGTTCGATGCTCCCCCGGAATCGTAAGCCCATTTTTAAGCAGATCTGAATGGAAACTCAAGGCAAACACGAGGGGAAAATTGAATAGCTGATGTAGCAGGTCTGTACTGTGAATATAGTTAGTTTGCTACTTATTGCCTTATGTATTTTAATGAGCCAACTGCAATTTGCAGTCAATTTTTGGTGGAATATTACATTTCAAAACGTACACGTGCAAGGCCTGATTTGTACCATATAACACTGCCTCTAGTGTTTGCTGTGTGAATAAGCTGGAATTAAAACCTGTTTTGGAATAAGATGTCACAGTTCATCGAATAAAACCTTGCGATATATTTCATTATTTTCATATATACCGTGTTATTGCAATTGAACAAGTCCCTCAGGAATATCTTTTCTGGAATTGCATTGCATTTGATTCTCTGTAGGTTAAATACAGAGTCTTGTACTCTTTTGCCAGGTGAAGATGTTTGGTTATTAACGGTCGTCGCTTATTCTGTAGGTTATTACTATTCGAGACTTTGTGGTGCTAGCCTAGCACCCTATCATTTATCATTGCTTGTTCATCAATCAACCCCGTAATATTTCAATCATATTTCACGATCCATTACTAGCCTGATTGGGACACTGATTAAGGTACTTTACGCCGGAGGGCTTTTCTTCCTTTAGCTGGTGATGTTACTGTCAGGGAAACCTTATTGCTCAAGTGATCACATTACTGAGATAGATAGCGATTGCTATATTAGGACAAAACAAAAAAAAAAGGACTACACGACTATGCACTCCCTTTCTCCCTCTGGGGTCTTTGTATATATCTTGGCTTAGCACTGAAGTATACCTGGAAATTTATGGCACCTACATAATTTGCAGGAAAGTGATCACGAAATTGCATGGCGATGTCTTCTTCATGTTATCCTGGCCAGTATAGAAGGAAAAGAGTGAATCGCAAGATAAATATTATCCCTATTGTTTTACTTATACTTATTTGTATCACATAGCAAATAAAAAATAATTTAAGGATAAAGCTTTTAATATGTGTGTTCTAACTATGATAAAAAATCACAAAAACAATTTCAAAATTAAGTTTTAAGATTCAATTTTTCGCTTATAAGTATAAGCATAAGTGAAACAATTAATAAGGTCTCTGCTTGCGGAATTGGGAGCTATATAAATAGGCGGAAAATTAACTTCTAAAGCTGTTCCTTTTTAACCAAATCATCTATAAAATCATGCCAATCATTGTCAAATTAACAAGTCAGTAAGATTGCAATATGCTACGGATCGTACGATAGGCATTACGTCAATAGTGGAGTACCACATATGGAGCACTGATGAGAATGAGATGAAGGCATGCAATCCAAAAGCAATTCTCCTTTAGTTTGCGTGCTCTGATGAAACTGTTTCCTGTTCCTTTTCTCTTGACCAACATCTTCAACATATGCTGCCACTTGTTCAGATTTTTTTTTTTAGAAAATGGGTAAAAAAAGCTGGCCTCTTATTCAACCAGATGTACACAGCCAAACCACTTGTTCAGATACATTGTCGAACTACAAAATTCTAGAAACACTCTTCAGTTTGTTAAATATACACACGGCAATGAGATCTCCTTGCTACTACTGTCCATTACAGTCTATTACTACTCTTTAGCTAGCTGAAACCGACCTTTTGCTGAAAGTAATTTGTTTTGGTCAAGCTAGCAACGCTTGAGATTTCCAATTGTCGGCAACGACATCATGTTGGCCCATAGATAGGTTGCCACATATATGAGTGCTTGTTTGGCTCTTGGGGGTCATGGCCTGCAACTCTCAGCTGCAACCTAGAAAGATACTCCTACTTGATCGAGTTGCAAAGTTGCAATCAACGAACTGTTTTAGCTTTAATTTCAAATGGAACTGAAGGTTTGTAGCGAGCACTTGGGAGTAAAGAAACTCCATCTTGTGATGTGATGCTGAAAAGATCATGCATGCATGCATGCATGATATTTAGAATAAGAAAAAAATGATGCATAATTTATATGCATGCATTGTTCTGTGTTGGATGCATGGTTCCTGCAAGTCCAAAAACTGCAATATGGCAAAGGAGAAACCTTGCTTGCACCCGATTCTTCGGCAAGAAAGATGCCCAGATGCAGGTTGAAACGTATATCTTTAAATATAATTTGTATATAGCTTCTAATTTTACTTTCTTTTTGCAATATTTTGCAGTGCATGCAAGCTGGCATTCCAAATCCATGGCTGGCCTGAAAACTTATTAGTTATCAGTTGCTGCTGCTTTATTTTGGTTACATCTCTCAACTGGCAGATGGTAACTGCGTCTCAATCTTCAGGTTTATTTATTCATCGAGGCATTATTACTAAGTTATATATATACATGAGTTCCATAATGTAAACATATTGTGCACAATTTTTTCTTACTGAAGAGGGAACAAAATGTCAGAGCTGAGTAAGCAGCGCTAGCTGTTTTCTAATTCTTCAGAGCTGCCATTACAGATCCAAGAATTAAACATAAGTAACAATAAACTCAGAGCAGATAGATATATACAAATTAAAATATTAATGTTGCGCTATGCTATACATGCTGGCATTTGCTACTAACAGCTGGTTTGCATGTATAATTTTTTTTCTTAGCTAGGTAACGTAGATATATGCTACGCGCATTTTTGTGGTTAATTTCTTTTTTTTCTTGAAACTTTTTATTTAATTTGTGGTTAATTTATCCAACGCCAACTAGCTTATTAGTGTATATCACATGACAATATGACATCACCACATGGCTTGCATGCGCCGTCCAACTAGCTTTGCATATATAAACCGGCCTGGCTGCACGTGATTATCTGACAGTGTCAACACAATTTCTGACAGTAGTTAGCTAGCTTGCAACAAGCTGTAGTGCTGTGCTTGCTAGCTGTGTGTTAACCTCAAGCCCGCTCCTAACTTGTGTAGCAAGCTTACATATACAAGACAAGAATAGAAAATTGATTGTGTGCTTTGCACCTGATAGAGATCTACTATCTCTCATTTGTTTTCCGGCCTGCAGTGCACCATTTCTTATCATTGGCATCAGTCTAATCCAACCAATGTTGCAATTTGCTCCGTGAAATAATTAGTGACAGTACAATATATAATGGTGCAAAGTGCAACATTTGCACAAAAAAATATATGATCACAATATGTATAGAGAACTAACAGGAGAAGTCTCATAAATAAATGGCTCCCAAACATGTATGTGCCACAACATATCAACAATCAGTAGTAGTTAGCACCAACAAATTAATTAACAAAACAAACACGACCTTTGTATATACAAAAGAAACCTATTAAGCAAACGGAATATATATAGACGAATGATCTCGCTAGCTACCTAGGAAGAACTAAATAATGAAGCAGTCAACAAAAATAAATTGCACACACATATATTCCTAAATCTCGATGATGTCCATGTTCAGTACGTAATTCAGTAATGCAGTAGCCGAGCACAAAAATTCTCAGAACGCAGCAGCATGCAATATATATGTATATGTGATCATTACTGTCGTGATATGTAATGATCCCCATAATTCTCTATCTTGTACTGCGGCACGCCAAGGGGATTCTGCTGCGTAAGCCCAGCCATCGCCGACTTCGATAAACCCTTCAGCTTGTTGCTGCTCGGCAGTAGAGTACCAAAATTCGGGACAGCAATGACATTTTCTAGGGCTTTCACCATTGCTGCCTGCTGCTGCTGCAAGTTGTAGTAGCTGCTTCCAATTCCATGGGCTCCTCCAGCTCCAGGCGTAATATTCCAAGAAGAGACGTGCTGCTGCAGAGGAGCACTATAGTTGCTGCTGCTGCTGCTGCTGCTTTTGTTGATCAAGCTGTAGTAGTTTGGCTGCTGCTGGAAGCTAACGGCAGTAGTATTAGTCGTCGTCGTACTTGCAGAAACGGAATAAACCGCGTTGTTGTTGTTGGGCGGCGCCGACAAGATGTTGGAAGAGTTGCTGACGAAGTAGATGCTGGGGTCAATGATGTCGTCTAGCTGAAAGAAGTCATCGCCGCCGTCGATGTCGCCGGCTTGAACGACGGAGCTGCCGCTGTTGGGGGTTTCGGCAGAGTACTGATCCACGGCTGCATACTGTGGTTGCTGCTGCTGGTTGTTGATGGCTTCGTCTCCCTGCTTCTTGTGGAAGACCTTGCACACAACCCATTCGTCCTTGGGATTCAGACGAAGGTTTGGGTGGTGGTTGTGGAGGTTGGCGTGGAGACGGAACTCGTGCATCACCCAGTTGGTCTTGGTGCCCTTGGGAGCCCTCCCCATGTAGAACACCAGCGTCTTCTTCATCCCAACCAGCTGCTTCTTCTTGTTGCTGCTGCCTCCATAGCTGCTTGTATTAACAGCTGCAGGCTGCCTGAAGATCTCCCTGTCCTTGCCGGTGGCCTTCCAGTAGCCCTCCTTGGTGGCCCGGTTGGTTCGCATGCCAGTTGGGTATTTCATGTCCTTGTGGCTGAAGAAGTACCATTCTTTTTCCCCCATCTTCGCCTTGCCTTCATCAAATTAATATGAAAAACAAGCATATTAACATCAAGATCTAATTAACTACTTGTGCATCTAAATATAAGCTTTTGGATCGAAGAAGAAAAGAAAAACAAATTTGACTTACTTGGAAGATCCCATGGCTCGCACTTGTTGAGGTCGACCTCGCCGATGGGCAAGGAGGTGAAGCTAGGGTTGAGCAACTTCTGCAGGAGGTAGCTTAAGATTACCTCAGCGTCCGTCGGGTGAAACCTGAAGCCTGGAGGCAAGAACAAGCCTCCATCTTGCTCTAATTTCACAAGGGATGTAGTAGACTCCACCATGCTAGCTAGCTAGCTTGCTCCCTAGCTTGAATTGAAGCTAGACTGAAGATGGAGGAAGCACTAGCTCTAGCTAGAGGAGAAGGAGAGGAGGAGATAGCTTGGTGGCACAAGCAAGAAAGGTGGAGACGACGCGCGATGAATGGGAAATGGAACAGAAATGAAGGGGACAAAGCCAGCAAGTTTTATAATGCTTTGAGACCTTTTCCATGGTTTTGAGGGGAAGGCCACAAAAATCTTGGTTAGCAAGGAAGACAAGTCCTCACTCGGTTTCATTATGATAAAGAATTAATATATGTACTATATATAAAGTGTGGCTCTTGCCAAACTAAGTATTTTGTGGCCGTCAAATTAATCAGATTTATATATACTACATGTTGTGCTTAATTAGATCCCCATCTATCTATATTATTATTATATTCTTCTTCTATAATCTTATAATCCGTTTTGCCAGATAATGCTGGTGACAGCTACGGCTAGGAACCGACCTAAAAGAAACTAACTGTCCGGCTGGAAGGCTTGTGTGGTACGATTGAGGACTACTTAATTAATTTCCATGTATAGTGCTCAGAAAGATACAAATCACTGTTCTCATCTGCTCATGGTATAATAGCATGCCGAAATTTGTTACAGATGTTCAAATTAAATTTATGGCCTTGTTTAGTTACAAACTTTTTCTTCAAACTTTCAACTTTTTCATCATATCAAAACTTTCCTACATACATAGGCTGTGTTTAATTCACACAAAAATTGGAAGTTTGGTTGAAATTGGAACGATGTGACGAAAAAGTTGGAAATTTATGTGTGAAGGAGAGTTTTGATGTGATGGAAAAGTTGGAAGTTTGAAGAATTATTTTGGACTAAACACGGTCATAAACTTCCAACTTTTCCATCACATCGTTCCAATTTCAACTAAACTTTTAATTTTGACGTGAACTAAACACACCCTATGTAATTTGCCAGTGAACATCGTAAAACTATTACAACCATAGAACTTCCTAAAGCTGGTTATTTGTTTTTATAGGAAATAGTGAGGGAGGTCCACAGTAATTTTTTCTTTATTTAAGATTGAAATTCGCTTACTGGAAAATTCAACCTATATATAGGACCTAGAGAGGTGCTACTTGAGCATTGGAACCGTTAGGACAACCCCTTTCGCAAGCTGGTTATTTTTTGAGCACCTTAACCACTATTTTATTATTTATGATCTAATTGGAAAGAGAAACTACGTTGAAATAACGGTTTTGACTCTCGAACCCGCACATATTACTTGGCTTAAGGCCGAGTTTAGTTCCCAACTTTTTCTTCAAACTTCTAACTTTTCCATCACATCAAAACTTTTCTACACACACAAACTTTCAACTTTTCCGTCACATCGTTTCAATTTTAACCAAACATCCAATTTTCCCGTGAACTAAACACACCCTTAGTTTGCTCGAATGAGGCATCTCTTCTCCCATTCCCTCCAAATGTACTCATGTCCATGAGTACATTTTTGTCTTCCAAAATTTTCATTCTCCCCCGCCCCACAATTTTCAAACTCTTAACATTTCATCAGTCAAGTACATTGATACCATATGTCATATTCTTTTTCACTCCAGCATCGGTTTAGAAACTTGTCTGTCTATCATTCTTTTTTTTAAAAAAAAAGATTCTCTCTAATTGAGCCAAAAATAATATAATAATAGTTATAGACTTGTGGTGTCCTCTCATAAATTATCAGTTTTTAAAGATGTTCTACAGGCTATAGATATGATACATTTTTTTAATGTTCATTAGTAAATACTCCCTCCTTTCAAAAGTCTAAGTCATATTTCTTTTTACACCAAGATGAAGGTGTAGTTAATTCATTCATCATGTGACAAAATCAATGAACATGCAACCCATAAGCACTAAAATGACTTTTTGGGTTCTGATCAAGAATTTAATATAGCACATAGTGACTACAAATAGAACTTAGACTTTTGAAAAAATCAAAGAATGAAATAGGACTTACACTTTTACATTTTTGGAAGGAGGGAGTAGATAAATTTTAAGTGTCTTGTTGCAAAATTTGACTAATATAATTGTTTTTGTCTTTTTCTTTTTTAGAAAGAGTTTGTGCAGGTCTAGCAAGTTGCAAGAAGTTTTTAGATGACTAGCTAGGTCGCAATTGCCATCAGCTCCAATGCACAGGTTAGCTGGCCTTTCCGGACGGGTGGTGTACTGTCTTTCTTCTCGTGTGTGTGTGTGTGTAATTTCCATGCATTTATATCTTGATCTCTTTTTGACATTAATTAATTGCTAGTATTAGAGCGCCGAGTCAGATCCTACTATGTTTTATACGTAGAGTATGTACAGCTAGCGTCGAGGAAGGGTCGTCGTCATGGGGGAGTCAATAATCACATGCATGCATGGTCAAAGAAAGAATCTGCATGCAATCAAATAAATGACGGCTGTTCATACTTGATACCTGCACTGCAGCCTGCAGGCCATATATAAGCTAGCAGCTGTAGTATCCAAGTTGGTCAGCTCTTAGATCATGAGAGAGTTTCACTTCTAGGTTCCTCTAAGTAGAGTAGTTCTTTTTTTTAAAGAATTACACAGTACAACGCAAACACGCGGACCCTACCCCTATGAGTATCTTTGAAAACTGGGCCGATAAATCCTAGAGAGATTAATGAAGTCACCACAGACGCCTCACTGTCGACGGATACGTCACCTACCACTGAAAGCACAACGCCAATTTGGTGCACTTCCAATAACGTCGACAGCTTCTGTTGATATTTTCTTATACTTCCTCCGTTTCACAATGTAAGTCATTCTAACATTTTCCACATTCATATTGATATTAATGAAACTAGATAGATATATGTGTCTAGATTCATTAACAACAATATAAATTTAGAAAATGCTAGAATGACTTATATTGTGAAACGGAGGGAGTAACTTTTATTTCTTCTTAATATATTTTGATGGCCTCGATTTCCAAGGAAAAAAAATAAGTTTCACTTCTCATAAGCTGCAGTCCCTACAGTTAATTATACGGACGGCTAGCGGCCTAGCGCGCACGTGCTAATATATGAAATGCACGTGCAGATGCCCTCGATCATTTTCAGAGCACACAAATGTGCGGTCCATTTTATCTGTTAGGCGCGCAAGTTGCATTTTGGAGGCTGGATGATCAAGTCGAAACCTGACATATATAATTTCTTGACCGCTGACTTATATAATTAGGTAAACAACTCATATGCTCCAACTTAACGTGCGTACGGTTCGTCCAAAAGATAGTACAATTAATACCCCTAGATTATTTGACAAAAATGTTTATTACTAATTGGTTTATCCAAATATTAGTAAGTTTCTTGTTTACTGATATTTCAGTAATGCAACTTAGTTGACCAGTTATTAACCTCTGTCTTAAGGAGCTACTTCCTCTGTTTCATATTATAAGATTTTCTAGCATTGCCCACATTCATATATATGCTAGACATATATACATATATATGAATGTGGGTAATACTAGTAAGTCTTATAATATGAAACAGAGAGAGTACCTATTTTTATTTATACTAAAAATATACTAAAAGTGATTCTTTTCATGATGTATATGTTAATTCTGAAATTCATAATTAATAAATATCGAGTTGTACTTAATTTGTAATCTTAGTTTTGTATCTTTTCCATATACATTTTTTAGTAAGTTTGAAATTTTAGAATCTATAAAAACATAAAGATAGGTTTTTAACATGGCACACGATGTTAATATATAATAGTAATAATGGGGATGTTCAGATTGTAGCCAAAATAAACCTTACCAATGCCAAAATTTAGTAAATTGGTAATATTACCAAAATTTTGGCAGGATTATTTCTTATGCATTTACCAAAATTTGGCAAGAAACTAAATGTATACATATTTTTAGAAACTTAAAAAAAAAACTATGATTTAAAATGGCATCAATCGGAACAACTCCAATATGATCATCTGATCAACAACTAGATCTTCTTATTAATGTGAAGCTATAGAGTGCCCAACAAAATAGATTCTTAATACTCAACGGATAATTGAAACACGGAGTATATACGATGTATTTGACATAGTAATCCGTATGTGAACCGGACAGCTGGCTCATGCGAGATCTAACACGTCATCAGCTGCTAGATGTATGACCTTTGGATAGATGCAAGAAAAGTATTCCATGCCTAGCTAGCTGTACCACACTAGTTAATGAAGAACCCCATGCATGCATTTATCTTCTTTTCTTTAGAATCAGATCTAAACAAAAAGAATCTGCTCGACTAGTCTCAAGAAAGCTAAATACTATAATATATGCTACATGATTCTAGTATCTGCTAATACTAGCAAACAGCTAAACTGCTAAAGAATACTAGAAAGAAGGGGTCTCCGAAATGTGGTTAATTAGTTAATTTCTGGCCCAGCCCAGGAAGCCAGGAGTACGTACAAACTGTCCAGAAGCCAAGAAAATCTGGGACCTTGGGCATTACGGCCCATGTAATTTCTGGCCCAGTTCGCTAAAAAAGGCCAGTACTCTAGATCAGAGTATTGGGAGTTCACAATGGTTATTAACTACACTAGCCACTAGGCAACAAATTATTAATGTCTAGCTAGTGGATTAATTACTGTTAGTTACTTCCAGAAACAGAATCAACCGTACGTCAATGTCACGGATAAACTTGTGACGTGGTGCCACACGAAGATCCTAATAAGCTCAAGCCCCATACATATTTCAATTAACTTTTCGTAAGCATGCATGCTTACAGATAATCTATCATATGCATGCTTAAGGCATCATGACTTTGCCACCCTGATTTTGGACGCACATACCCTTCCTTCTTATCTACTCTCATCTGATCGTCATCACCTTTTAGGCACTACTGCATGAATTGTTATCCTATCCTAATCCTTCACCTAAACTAGTGCACAAGCACCAATTATAAGCAGCCTCTCTAACATGCATGTGTGAGCGTGACTTAATCATCATGCTTTAGCTAGCTGTTTCTTGGTGATTGCTTACTAATTAATCCAATCTATGGGAGAGATTGAAGGTTGTTGCTAGCTAGCTAGAGCCGTAGAGGTAGACCAGGACACACGATGAATTGTTAGGGTCAGAAGAATAAACAAATCGCTGTCTCCAATAGGGAGACGTGGTTAAGCAAGTGGAGAGAATCAACTTAGTTTAATTTGGGCTTATCTAGTGGGAAGATGTCATGCTATTTGCACGCTTGATCAACCACTCCGTTGAGCAACGTGCTCTGCCGCCGTCTTTCCGTTGTCCTTGAACGACATAAACAATGCTGTTTTGATTGTTTAATTAGGTCGCTGATGACGCGTGTTAATTAAGTAGGCGCCATTGCGTTTTCGGATATTGGTCTAGCAATCTGAAGCACAGTTCTTCCTCAGTACTGAATTGTGGACAAGACGACCATTAATTTGTCATTTTGGTTGGAGTCGTAGAGATTAGTTGATGAAGCAGCTGGTTTGTCCTGAAGTATTTGACAAATTGAGCAAGAATTTAGTCAGTATTGTTGTTTGAAAGTACAATTGATCAGCGTACTATATGTACAAGTGGTGTTATGCAAGCTACTCCTAGCTGCAGGGCACTCGTTTGGCGCCGATGATCAGAGCCATCTCAATCTACTCGAAAGGAATCTTGAGCAGGCAAAGGTATATTCCGACCTCAACTGTAAAGTTTATCTAATCCTTTCAAAATGGATAAGGATTGAAACTTTGAAGATGCAAATGCTAGCTAGCCCACCAACTAGTCCTTTGCATAGTACAAGACCAATTATATATCAGCACATTCAGACAAGAACAAATTGTTTAATTTGTAAGGTCCAATGAATCAACGACAAAGTAGCATGTTTCTTTCGTGTGCTTGATACCAGAATAATTAAGAAACATGCATAAAGATTATCATATAAATTGGCTTGAGTACTAGCTTGCACGATATTACCATTTATAATTTACATTCTTGTACATGAAAATGAAAACAAAAAAAAACTCACAAATTAATGCCATAGGAAGAAATCTGAATCTTTCCTTGCATGGGTTACATCAAGAATTCCGTCTGTTTGTCTATCTGTCATGCAACTCCTCAAAATAAATCCAAATGGAACAATCAGTATCTTCCTCTCTGAATCTGTAGTTTCATTCGTTGAAATTAATTCACCTCTCTTCAGATCGATCGGTAAACGGATCTAGACGCCTACTAGCTACTGCATCTGCAGATGATTGTTCAGCAGTAGCTGCTGGTTCAGAGGAAATGGATGGCTCAACATATTGCCGTTCTGAAACTGAAAACCAGTCGCAGTCTCTGAAAGCTGCTGGTTGCAGTAACCTCCTCCAAAACCACTGCCCCTTGAATCACTTGGCAGCAGCAGCGGTTTCTTGGCAACATGCAAAAAGTCACTGCTGCTGCTGCTGCTGCCATCATCAAAAGAAGTTGCACTACACGCCATCATTCTCTTCCTCCTTAGGCCATTAACATTATAATTGTTAACGTAACCATCGTGATGATCTAGGCGTGACTCGAAGGCGTGTGGCATGTTGTTGTTGATGTTATAGTTTAGTGTTTGGTTTGGATATATTAGAGGGCTGGGAGGAGCAGGAAGCTCAGCGATGGCGTCGGATGAGCCGTCGAGGAGAAACTGCGAGAGCGCGGCGCAGTCGAGGTTGTTGAGGAGATCGGTGAGGGAGCATGACTTGCTCATGCTCATCGCCGTCATGGGCTGGAAATCTGACTGTTGGTTGTTCATGTCAGGTGGAGCAGGAGGTTGTTGAGAGGAAGAGTTGTTGTCATGGATGTCTTCAAGCTGTTCATCGACGGTTGATCCCTCGGGTTCTTGGTCGTGTTGGTCAGAGGAATTGAAGTCGTTGCTCTTCTTGTGGATTCTGCACAGCACCCAGTCGTCCAGCTGATGAACAATATCACAAATGCAGTAAACAATAATTAGAAGTGTGCAAACTTGCTTTATTTATTTTTAAAATAAAGAATAAAACACAAGCTCAATCAACATCAACAAATTTGACTTTGTAGAGTGAGTTAACTAAGAGCAACATGCACGTTTGCTTCCTTCAATATGCCAATTCAAACAACGACGTAGCTTTCAAAGAAGACGTACGACGAAGAGAAAAACAAATTAATAATGAACTAAAATTAAGTAATTAAATGAATCTCACCCTCATGGTCATGGATGATGCTCTACGCTGCTTTGTGGTGGTGGTGTTGTTAGCTGATGTGCCTGTGAGGCGATACTCGTGCATGATCCAGTCGGTCTTGACGCCCTTGGGGGGCTTGCCCTTGTAGAAGACTAGGGCCTTCTTGACGCCGATGTTGTCGCTCGTCGGAGTTGACAAGATGGACTTGTCGGTGCCGGTGGCCTTCCAGTACCCCGAGCCGGCGGCGCGGTTGGGGCGTGCGCCGTTGGGGTACTTGCGGTCCCTCGGGCTGAAGAAGTACCATTCGTTCTCGCCGAACAGCGCCTTACCTGCAACATTCCATATCCATTTTCAAAGCCCAAAATTAAATTTGGTCAGTTTGAAGGCATTAATTTGATCGAGTTTAATTGATACATGGATAGTTTATATATGTATGGTGATTAGTTAGTTAGTTACCAGGAAGGTCCCATGGGTTGCACTTGTAGATGTTGACCTCGGCGATGATTGGCACGGGGCACTTGATGGAGGCGGCCTGGTTCATGAGGTAGTGAACGATGAGCTCCTCGTCGGTGGGGTGGAAGCGGAAGCCTGGTGGAAGGGCAGGCATGGCGCCGCCGCTGCTCGGCATGCTCAGCTCCTTCAATCGGCTCGCCTAGCTAGATTTTTTTTCTTTTTTTAAAAAAAAACAAACAAACAGAATAACAGATGGTGTTTGGTCAGCGTGAGCTGAAGGAAGAAGATGACGACCTGGCTAGCTTAGATTACGTAGGAGGAAAACTGGCACTAGTGAAGGAAGGAAGCTAATAAGCTAAGGAAGAGGAAGGATTGAAATTTTTGAGATGGAGGGGGTAGGGCTCTCTTTTATAGACGCCATGGGCTTGGCTCATCTTCTTGCTGTTCGGGAGAAAGAGAGGTGGGTGCATGGATGGATTACTACAAAGCAATTGATTAATGAGAGCTAATTAACTAGGGGCACAATAGACAATTAACTAGTTATTAGTAGGTGGCGTGGATGTGAGTACCAAAGACTGGACCACATTTGACACTTAACCATGCATGTCAGATTAAATAACTTGAAATTTCAGCGTCCAAGCGATTTAGTCGTAAGTTCAGTTTGACATAGGGTTGTACTACTTGCTACCTCCTTTGATCGTTGCATTTTTTGTCACCGGATTACTATTTATTTGCAAAGTTTCACTATTTATCTTTTTTCAAAAAAGAATGACATTGTTCTTAGTACTCTCTATGGCTTCATATGTTATTGAAGTTAGTAGCAAATAATTCAAAAAGTCAAATCTAACTCTTGTAAAATTAATCAGTGGCAAATGAAGGTAATACAATGAAAGAGCCATACAAATATATATTTCAATCGTCTTCTATCTTCATTCCAAAATAAATTTATTTTATAATATGAATATAGATACATTCAAAATAAATTTATTATAAGGCGAAGATAAGATACCATGAGAAGAGAATATCGTCAAACCATTAACCATGGCATGATATACTAAAACAAATATTACTCCGCGTACGTAGTAGTACCACCCAAGGACAATTGGTAATGCAAGAAGCTAATGACCTGTCCTTGGCGCATGCATATATACACAGTAATTATAATTGTACGTACGTGGCTCCACGTCAGCTAGCTACCAGTGGGCAGGGGGGACCACAACGTACGTGTGGTGTGGATAAACTCATGCATATGGAAGCAAAACAAATGGATCGATCGGCTTTAATTTGTTCTTCACATACTGTACTAAAGACGATGACGACACATGCATCCAGTAGTACATGGATTTATGTTGAGCCGTCCAGGTGTCAACTACGCATTGCCGCCAATGATATGTGCACCGATATGATGGTTCCGTCTTGGCAGCTTGTGCGCGTGGCACGCTTTCGACTCTTTCTTCTTTTGTTAGGCCGACCGGTGGGCCCCACCTACCTCGTGGAAACCACCTGCATCGTCACTCCATGGGCTCTACCCTCGCTTACACTAGACGACAATTTGGTTGACGATTAATTAAAGGGTTAATTGGATCCATACTACTTTAATTTTGCCCATTCATTAGATCTATGCTATTATCATCATGTTTGATATTATCATATAGACTAAAATATCTCTAGACGTGAGATCCACATGTTAGTCATATCTTCTTTCTCCATCCTCCCATTTTTTCTCTTATCTGCCGGACGACACAACGCCTCTATCTGCATCTCGTCCTCCTCTCGATCTCCCCACGCCCCGTCCGCTAGAGACCAAGGCCTCGCCCTCTCTCTCCATCTCATGTCCTCCTCCTCCCGATCTCATCGTGCTCCGCTCACTTGCTAGAGACCAAGGCCTCGGCCTCGGCCTCAACCTTCAGGACCTCGGATCTAGAGGATGAAAGGCGGAAGCATGCTGGCCGTCGAAGCTCTGGTGCCCCTTGCAACAAGCATCAGGATGACGACGTTGATCAGGGAGCCGCGAGCAAGGAGAAGGGCGGAGCTCTGGTGCCTCTTCAGACGAGTAGCAGGATGGCCGGCTAGGGAGCGATGAGCAAGGAGAAGTGCACCGGGGAGGGGGGATAGTAGTGGTGGTGGATTGTCATGGCCAAAGCTCCTCCATGCGGTTTGCGGCACCTGGCGCACCAAAGAATTTACTATTTGCCATCTTTTCAAAATGTACATGCCCAACTCTCCCAAATGTTCACTTGATTTGCCATCCGGTCCCATATGTCAGCCTCCTTCCACGTTTGGACAAATGAGATGTGGGATCAGGTGATGAAGGAGGCTGACATGTGAGACCGGGTAGAAAATGTGAATGAAAATTATGGAGAGTGGCATTTGGGCTTGTGCATTTTGGGAGGATGGCAAATAGTAAATTCTCCCCCTGACGCGCCGATGCCAAGCAACAGGACGGCGGTGTTGCCCAGGGAGCACACACGCCTAATCCGAGTGCTAGGAGCACGAATATTTCCATGCGACACATCATCTTGGCCTAAAAGGAACATCGTCTTGGCGACAAGTGTGATGACGGCTTCCGTAACGAATGTTACCGCCGGCTGCATCCATGCCGGCATGCTCGTGTCCTCTACTCACTGTTGCGCTCTCTTGCCGGTTGAGGAATGGGGATGAGACAGTGTGGTAGAGAAGATGAGAGAAATCATGGAGTGACATGGTTCAAATTTTATAAATTTCCAGTGACACTTAACCAATATCTCGAATTGTAATAGCACTTTTTTGAATTAGCAAAATTGTAATGGCATGGATCAAATTAACCATTAATTAAAGCGCATGCATGTATCATATCATGATGTGTAGTACTCCATCCGGCCCAAAATAACTTAATCTAGGATAGAATGTGATATATCCTGGAATAACAAATTTGGACAAGTGTTATCGAGATTCGTTATCCTAAAATATGTCGTATTTTATCCAAGATTGAGTTATTTTTTTTAGATGTAGGGTGTACTCTCTTCATAAGGTACCCTGCACTAAAGCCAAAACAAACAGATGAAGCACGCCTTGACTTTGGTGTGTTCAGTTCACGTTAAAATTGGAAGTTTGGTTGAAATTGGAACGATGTGACGGAAAACTTGAAAGTTTGTATGTGTAGAAAAGTTTTGATGTAATGGAAAAGTTGAAAGTTTAAAGAAAAATTTTGGAGCTAAACTCGGCCTAAGACGACGACGAATGCTCCAAATTGACAAGATCATGATCGATCGACCGATATGGATGATCCTGCTGTGCACATGCATGCAGCAAATTAATGCGGCATGTGCCATGGATATATAGAGTATAGACCAGCCGCCTGAAAAATGCACGTGAGTAACGTTGATAAAGTATCTCCCACGCGGCCGGAGCTAACTAGCTAGATGAGGTACACGTACGCGCGATGGACAACTTCAATACCAATACTGGTACTTTGCAATTTTTTATATATATGAAAATAAATTTATTTTTCATTCATCTAATACATACTCCCTCCTTCCCAGTATAGTGGACGTTTTTAACTTTGTACTTTCAACGTTTGACTATTCGTTTTATTTGAAAAATTAGTGCAAATATAAAAAAGATAAGTCATATGTAAAGTACTTTTGATAATAAAGCAATTGACAAACAAAATAAATAATAATTCCAAAATTTTTTGAATAAGACGAATGATCAAAAATTATAAAAAAAACTCAAAAAGACAAGTAATATGGGACGGAGGTAGTACCAATATATTTTTGAAAAAACTCAAGTTTAAAACATATCGATCAATTAGGAGGAGACAGAAAGTACAGCGTGTGGCTGCTCAAATGGACCGGTCATAAATCTAAATCTAACAGCTAGAAAGGAGTCAAAGAATTCGGCCCACGTGTGAGTGTGTGCATTGCTGGCTGACGGCCCAAGTGACGAAATGTGTGAAAGGGACGTAGTCCTACATACGTACGTCGTAGTACCAAATTAATTAATAACGCATCTAATAATTTTACCGAGTGAATACTACTCCTACGTACCAGTATAATTCTTCCTTATTTCATATTCACCACTGATGGCTATGTTCTACCAGTACAATTGACATTCTACCACTGGTGGCTGCCGATATATATAAAAACAGGCTAGCGAGTTGGGATGAAAAAGGTTCGAAAATTTTTCTACTCTAGATGTTCACATTTGTACTTAGTATTGAGGTGGTTAGTTAAATGAACGTTTTTTTTTTCAGTCAGGTGTTTTAGATCATTTTTCTTTTGCCTAATCGCTATTTTTTGTTTTGGTACTACTTATAGTTACCAATTAAATAATTGTTGATTATTGTAGTTCTATCGGAGAGTGAAGTATACAATTATTTGTATTATTACCAATTGATGACAATCGATGAAAAGGTTCTATATGCAGATTGGAATATTTGGAAGCATCGAAATGGTTATATTAATTTTTGATAATGTTGCACCCTCAGTTTTCTCTTGAATGACATTCTTTAAGAATGACTTATCCCATCTTGTTTTTTTGTTTAAGTTTAGATTAAATATCAGCGTCTATCTCCTGGATAAGTCAGTTGTAGTACCTTTTATTTTAACCTCCTTTTTATAATATATTTACTATGGGGGCTTCCTCATAGTGCTTTCATAAAAAAAAGATGATAGATTTATTATTTTTAAAAACAATAAGCTACATCTCTTTGTTGATTTGAGAAGGCCAGTTAGAATTGTTTTTATATTCCGATAAACATTGTTACCGTATTCGCTCCGATCTATATTCACTCTATTTTAGTATTCAATAATATTCGATTCCGTTTTTATAACCGTGGTTTTCAATTCTGAGAAGAAATGGAAACGAAAATGGTAGAGCTAGTTTTCTAGCTGTTTTCATTCCTACCAGTGATTATATATATATAATCTTAATTAATTTACTTACAAAATAATTACTAGTCGCAGGCACATCTGGGGACGTATGACGTGCAAGGGCTCTAGGCGTCAAAGGGCTGGTACCTTTCTTCCTTGCCCGTGCGGATGGAACGGATTATCTACTACCGGAGTACTTGACTAAAACAAACATCAGATCCATATAGCTTTATAGTTGGCCTTATTACACGTCACGATCTTGACACCCAGTTCAACAATCCTCTACTCATTTCTACCAAGAAATTCTAGCTTGTGATAAGTACCTATACCAATCCAGTTTGCATGCGTCCATATTAGACTCTCCTGTCAAAAGATGTTCGTTCATATAGATCGATAGCTATGTCAACTGTGTATTATATACTAGTATATCATTAGCAAAAGTCGTACACAAAGCAAGTAAAGTCATACTGTAGGGCTTTTTTGTCAGGCGCTATACAAATTAATTGAAATTAATGTTGAAGGGTCTTAAAATGCAACTGTACTGCATTCAGATATGCACGCATATCCGTTCATGCAAATATATCTATGTTGACGTCTTAAAATCGCACGTATAATAAGTTATTTATGATATCCATCCATGTACGGCCCGCCGT